CACTCTGAGATAATGTCAGTCTGCAGGATGAAAATAATTTTTAAAAAACACCAGAAACTCCCTAGATTGTCAGAGCTAAATAGACAGCAATACAGTTTCCAGACTCGGGTCAACAAGTTTGATGGCTCTACAGGTTTCTTTGTTTCTCTCCCCCCGCCCTTTCCTCCAGCCCCTTTTTAAAGTCCTCCCTGCAGCTTCTAGGGGACGGTCTCCAAATTGGCTCCCGGAGACTGGTCGCCAGGCCTGAAAATAAAGCCTTTGCCACTAAATTTTCGGTCTCTTGCCTCCTTGGATTTTATACCGGGGCTCAAGTTATAACAGATCTTGCCTCAGGTGGAAGCAGAATGTTATGAAATTATATTTGATGATGGTTTAATTTAAACTCATTTTTAAAAAGGTAGATTATGGGGAGATAATAATGATTATTAAAAAACACAGCAAAGTATTAACACTGGGAAAGTCTGAGTGAAGGGCATGTGGAAGTGCTTTACCATGCTTATTGACTGTTGTGTAAACCCGAATTATTCAAAAAGTAAAATTAAGACAGGTGTTGATGGTAACGATAGAGATCTAGGCTGATTGCATCTCGGGGAAGACTCGGCAGCTTAGGCCCAAGTGACCAGGAGGTGAAGATACAATTTCGAGCCTTCAGGCTGGTTCTCACCCGGGAGGCACCATCTCCTCACAGACAGAAACAGGAAATGCTGGTTCTGTGTAAACCAGGAACTTTGCCGACCTGCAAAAGAAATCCTACTCTATTCACCAAATAAAATGCGGGCTTCCTGTATAAGGATAAACAGTAGTAGCAGTCACATGACGCTGTAGGCAGGAATTAGACCTGATGCAGACCTCTGTCTCGCACATGGCAGATGGAGTCTGACATGCACACCCACTGGAATGGAAAGATGTGATTCTTCGTGTTTATGTCCTTTAGTGCAGCCACTCGGGCATGTTCTCATAGACTGCCCTTTGTACAGACTTAGGAGTGGAACCACAGGTGTGCAAAGAGCCACTGTGCAGAATTGTGTTCATCTGCATAAGCAAGAGGGAAGGTTTAAATTTTATTTGGAAACAAAGAGCTACCCAGTCTCAGCACTAGATATCTTGCTATGACTAAGGGAAATCATCTTTAACCCTTCATACTAGGTATTGTAGAAAAGATAAAACAGGTTTTCAGGAAAAACCATTTCCTCCAAGGGCTCACAGAGCCTGTTTTCAAAGCCAAGGTTTTTGGTCTTTTGCTAGTTCAGCAGTAAGGAAGTGTCTCTGCTGGTCTGCTGCGGTCTCTGCTGGTGCTGACCTCAGACTTGACTAAGCCACAGCCTGATAATTCTACAACCCACAGCTTTGTTGTGGCGGGGATTGGTTCAGTATGGGATTGCAGACCAATTTGGGTCAGTAAAATGCTGGATAAAGAAGCTTGCCGAGGTCTTTTGGGTGAGAACTTCCTTGGTCTTCTGGGGGTGCCTTTAGAATCGCTCACCAGGTTCGCTCCAGAGTGGACTCTGTGGTGCTGGATGTCACTGGCCAACTTCCAAGAGCTCCAAGTGTGACCTGGCCCAAGGAGGAAAGGTTCTGTGCCTGGTAGGACAAGGTGTGTGGATTTCTTTTTTTTTTTTTTATCGGTACCAGGGATCGAACTCACGATGCCTGCTTGCAAGGCAGGCACTTATGCCGCTGAGCTAAATCCCCAGCCCCCTGGGTGGATTTCAATAACAGCTTCTTCTCACATGTATTCTGGAGCCACTCCTGCTTTCCAAAGACTTATTACTTCTGCTTCCTGTTCTCTTCCCTGTGGTATCTCCTGTAGTCTGGATAGTCCAGGTATACTGAGATTCTTCCACATTAAACCAAAATAAACCTCAGACTCCGTGTTCTCCTCCAGTGACAGCCCTGCTGTCTCACACTCCTTGTTTCCTTGTCAGGACTTCTGTCTGCTCCTCCTCGCCTCCCTGCCACATTTCTAACACACGCTGGTCTGGCTCCTGTCAACCCTACCCTCCTGAACTGCCCTTGTCAAAGTCACCACGGGTCCATGTGGACACTCACCGTGTCCTTATCTCATCTTCTTGACTTCCCAGCTTGTCTTCAATTGCCTCAAATTCTCCCTGTTCTTCACACTTTGCTATCCAGGCTTCATCTGCCACACACACCTGGTCCCCTCCTGCCTCCACGGCTGCTCGGTCTTGGGTTCCTCCTTTAACGAACTTGTAAATGTTGGCCTGACTCTAAGCTCGGTCCTAGGCCCCCTCTTCATGCTGCTTTCGCTATGTCATCCCATCTCCGTGCAGCACGCAGTGTAGGCAGTACTGTGCTTGTGGAGAGTTTGATGTACGCCATGTAGTGTTAGCCGTGGGAGGCAGGTAATGGATTAGTGAGCAAAGCTCCGGCCTCTCAAGGTGTCATTCCTAGGGAAAGGAAAATGTGCAAACTGCACCAGCACAGGACTACGAGCTGTCAAGTAGTGTTGGTGCTATGAAGGACAAGAAGGACGTGGGACGGGACAGTAATGATGGCACTATTTTCAGACAGAGCAGCAAGGGGAAGACTTTGGGAAGGTGTCACTTACACGAGAGGTGGGGAATGTAAGAGACAGGCACCAAGTGTGATTCCACATGACTTGCGGGACAGGAGGGCAATGGTGCCATTAACGAAGACGAGGAAGCCTAGACGATGTAGGAAAGGAACCAAAGCCTATTAACACACCTGTTAGGGCAACAGGATGTACTAGGTGGTTGTTTATCTACACTGAGTTCCTCTTGTCACCGGTTCGGTTTTCAGTTCTCAGGGCAACCTGCCCTGCCCTATTTCTCAGACCATCTGCCTCTGCCACAGCTCCCCATCCTGGGTGGTCTCTGTCACTCTCCTTAGCTCAGTGGTATGATGATAGTTGCTGTAACCTGTGATAATAAAAACATGGCTATTTTTGGCTACCCGCTCATCTGTCTTGTACAGAGCTGCATTCCCTGGGCTTAGTACTATGCATGGCACAGAGAAGGGCTCAAATGACCAGCTGTCAAGAAAACAAAGCTTAGGTCGGTCACCTGGAGGTGGCAGAACAGCTTGCTTCTGCTACACACAGCAACACATCCATGGCTTTGGGCATGTTTTCTCTGTGGTGTTTTCTCAGTTCCAAAAGTGATTTGATGATTTTAAAGGAATATCCACTTTGAAATTATATATAAAATCCAGAACTGTTATGTAGCCTGGTTAAATTTGCACCCAAAACCTCATTTTGATAGCAACAAAAGTAAAGAGCTTTCCTATGTAACGAGTGCAAATGGTAACATACAGAAGTTTGCGGCTGGAATCTACAGCCCTTAGATGACCCTTAGAAGGCCATCTTTTCTTCAAGCCCCACTCCAGCATCAGGCTGAGATGATGGGAAAAACAGAAGAACCAGAGTCCTGGAACACCACTGAGAACTCACTTAGCTGTGCTGTTCTGGCCTTTGAGCTCTGCTTTTGTTTGCTGGTTTGGTTTGGTTTTTGTTTGTTTTGAGACAGGGTCTTGCCTTGTAATTCAGGGAGGCTTTGGACTCACTATGTAGCCCAGGCTGGCCTTGAACTCATAGCAATCCTGCTGCCTCAGCCTCGGGAGTGCTGGTATTTACAGGGTGAGCCCCCACACCAGGCTGCCCTCTGCTTCCCAAATTCACGGATATTCCAGAGGTATTTGGTGACTAAGGCCGAAAGCCTAGGGGTAGATATTACCCCACTTCACTGATGAAAAAATGAGGCCCTAGAACATGACCTGGTTTGCCATAGTTCAGACCTACACCAAGTGACAGAAAAAAAAAAAAACTACAGTCTATGTGTCTCACTGCAGGGTACTTTCCACAGCAGCAAGGGTATCTACGGTCAAAGCTAGAATCAATAGTTTCCAATAGATGCATATCTATATATTGAATCAACAAATGAAAAAATATTGGATTTTGAAACCCTGGATTAGAACCCTGCAATCAAGAGACTGACAATTTACACTTCAAATCACCGGGGAAATCTTATTGCTAAGGTAACTATTATGTAACTTAGACACAGCTAGATGTAAACAACGCCACAAAAAAAATATCAGTGACAAAATTACAGAGGCAGGAAAAGACTTCCCCCCGCGCCTTCTGGAAGAAAGAGATGCCAGGAGTATCAATTGCCCACCACTGCCTGTTTGAAGATCCTCTGTTTCATTTTCCTCTTCCTCAGCAGTTTTTGAAGAATTCACTTTCAAAAGAACCCTGTGTGTGTGTGTGTGTATGCACACACACACACGCGTCCACACACAGAGTGTGATTTTTTCCCTCAGTAAGAAAGGAAGTCATGGATCCTTGCCAGGGAAGAGGGTCTCTAGATTTGTGTGCACACAGACAGGTCTATCACCAGGTCATTGTCACACAAAGCTATACATAGAGGGCTTAACGTTGTCAATGAAGTTTTAAAAACTCATTAACCATCTATATTTGCAGACAGCAGGAAGAAAGGAAAAATTAGGCAGATGGTTGTTGTTCCTTTCTTTCTTCCAGTCCAAATCAACCTCTTTTTCGTCTGAATAAAAGTAGACCAGAAGCCAGGGGTGGTGTCCCACACCTGCAATCCCAGCACTCAGGAGGCTGAGGCAGGAGTAACGTTACTAGTTCCAAGTTTGAGATCAGCCTGAGATATAAAGTGAGGTCGAAGCCAGCCTAAACTCTATAGTGAGACTCTGTCTCAAAAAAGACAAAAAAAAAAAAAAATATCAGAAATGGAAACAAGTGCCTCTCTCTTTAGGCCCAATATCGGATTCTTTCTAATCCACTTTTTTGTTTTGTTTTGTTTTTGTCTTTTTGAGACAGGGTCTCCCTATACAGTTCATGATGCCCTCACTTTATAGCCCTGGCTGGTCTCGAACTTGCAACAGTCCTCCTGTTTCAGCAGAGTGTTGGGATTACAGGTTCATTTTCATTCTCTTCAACTAAATCAAGACAAAGGTGGACGCCAAGTAACGAAAACATCAAGAAAGCAAAAATCTTAAATAGAAAAATGAATAAATAACATTTATTTTGTACAAAACAGCTTTCAGTTTGCGGAAGTCCCTGGCAGTGGGCCGTGAGTCCTCAGGGCAGCAAAAGAAGCGAGCCCAGCAGCAGGGAGCCCCGTCCCCGTGGGCGCCCCATGTCCCTGGACGGGATGCGCAAGGCCAAGCGGTGCGCCGGCTCCCCTGAGGCCCTGGCGCAGTTTGAGTCCGGCTCTGGGTCGGGAGCCGACCCGCGGTTTGGGCCGAGCACTAGGCGGCGCTGATCGTGCGTGGCGCCCAGCGGCCGCAGGGCCAGACTGAGGCAGCGGCCGGAAGCGCAGGACTCGCGGGAGCTCGCGGACGAGCTTTTGGGGCGCAGCAGCCGCAGGCGGAGCCGCCCGCCACGCGCGCAGGAATCGGGGTCCAGAGTGGCGACGCTCTTGGCCGGCAGGCGCTCGGTGACGGCCGGGGTAGGGGGCTGCGCGCCCGCGTGGCGCTCGTCGCTGTCACCGTCGCCGTGGTCGTCATTGTCCCCGCTGGACACCGAACGGCCGCGGACCGAGCAATGACTCCCTCGGGCCCGCAGCGCGCGGCTGAGCAGGCGGTTGGGGGCGCACAGGAGGGGGCGGCGGCGGCTGCAGGGCCTTGGGGCGGGCGCGTTCCGGGGCGGGCAGGGGACAGCGCTGGTTGGTGCCTGCGGGGGCACGAGGTGTGCGGCTCCCACCTCTCCGCCGCCGTAGGTGCGGGCCCGGGGGCGCAGCGCAGGGTCCCCGAGGAAGAGCGACTCCTTGCGGCGCGTGTGCGGGCTCTCGAGCAGCGCGCAGAAGCCGTAGGCGGTGCGCGCACGGGGTAGGTGCGACAGCGAGAGCGCAGCCTGCGAGCGCGGGTCCCCGTCGGTCGCGCGGGGCCACAGGTCCTGTTCGGCAGCGCAGCGGCGCGGCAGCACCCCGGCGGGCAGCGGGGGCTCGGGCGGGCCGGGCGGGGGCAGCCGCGGTGGGATACAGAACTCAGGAATGCGGCCCGGGGTGAGCACGTTGGCGCAGGCGGGCTCCGGAGCCGCGGCGCGCAGCTTCCAGAGCAGCCGCATCGTCGACGGGACGGCCGGGCTGGCGGAGGCGAAGCGGGAGGAGAAACGCCTGGCCACGGTGACCGCAGCCGCTGCAGCCCGCGGGAGGTCTTGAAGGCACACCGGCTGATGCAAAAGACGCGAATAAACAGAACGCGTACCTTGCCCTCTTCTTGGAGCTCTCGGAGCTAATTCAGAGAAGCTCAGAGAGACACCAGACGTCTGTGGGGGCGCGGGCTTCAGCACTGCGGCCGGGACAGCAGCGCTGCTCTCTTATACCCGGGCTGGGTCCCGCCTCCCGCGCCGGCGCCCCTCATTGGCTGCTCCCGTCGGAGTGCTGTAGTCCTGCAGGCGCCTTGGCTAGGGACCTGACTGCTGTGCCCGCGCGCGGCACCTCTTCCAAGCTTACCCGGGGAAAGCTGCTGGGCGAAGGCAAAGAATTGGCAGCTGAAAACGTGTGTGGCCTCCTGGAGAAGACGAAGCAGGGTGCAGAAGCCGGAAGTTCTATCTGGCTAGGAGACAGGCCTGTGTCCCCCCCCCCCCCCCCCCGTCCTCTGCCCTTGCGCTCCTATGTCTTGCCCCCATGCACTCACTCTGGGCAGAAAGTAGGTACCAGTTTCCAACTACAGATGCATCTGGATCGAGGACATTGCAGTCACGTCTGGATTAACCCATTCCAATAAAAACCTGGAATTTTTATTAAGTCGATATTGTCCTATCCTACCTTCCATCAGTCTGCAGTTGGGCAAAATCATTTGCTATAAAGCCTGTCTCATAATCAAGGGTTAAATATCTTGTCTCATTGACTGCTGTGCTGAAAGTGAAAAACAAATAGTGGTGTGGGTACATTTTGATTGTGTTTGTTTTTTTGAAACAGGGTCGCACTATATAATCCAGGCCAGCCTTGAACTCGCTTGCTCAGGCTGACCTCGAACTCACAGTGATGCTTTTGATTCAACCTCCTGAGCGCTGGGGCGACAGATGGGCATTACCACACCTGACTTCAGTATGGGAACATTTTGCTGCATCATAAAGTCAAAAGCTTGCAAGTCCCGCCAAGCGCTGTGCCTGTCTTCAGGACTGTCACAAATAGTGGGGCTTCTGACTGGTTCTAAAAGTAACTTGATGATTTCTCAAAGTTGCCCGCTTTTCTTGTTTGTGCTGCAAGGAGGTCTCCAGATAGAAAGCACTTTATGGTAAATCTAAATTGCCTGTTGCCACCACCTAACCTTCATTTCCTGAGATAAGGTTGAAATCCTGGGGGAATTTGGGGGAAAGTCAGCAAGGTTAAAAAGAGCCAGTTCTTAAACTGGGCATGGTGGTACACACCTGTAATCCCAGCACTGGAGGAGGCTGAGGCAGGATGATCACTGCAAGTTTGAGGCCAGCCTGGACTACATAGCAAGACCCTGTCTCAAACAAACAAACAAAAGGAAAGACAGAAGAAAAGAAAGAGCTATTTCTTGGCAGAATTTGGAACAAGAAATTTCCTATTTGGCTTTGCACAGGATATGTCCTGCTATCTGCAACACTCTTTCTCTATTTTTCCTTTCTGTAGGAATTCCTGTTTATTATCCGTGATTTGGCCCGCACACTCTGCCCTCAAGAACCTTTTTCTCGCTGTCCTCCTCAGTTCATCTGTCTCCTTGTTCCTTCTGTGTATATTCTGTGCACCACCATGGTTACCTTTACCACACTGCTCTGGAAATTTGTACTTACAGGTTTTGTTCCCCTTACTGACTGCAAGCTTTGTATGAGCAAGGATTGGGGCAAAGCAACCAGAGTGGAGTTCAGGGAACCCATTATGAATCTATGCAAAATAAACAAAAGTCCTAGGACACAGAAGCTGGATCTGCCTCCATTCCTAGTTGCCATATTCCCAGCAGCAAGCCTTCCTGGTGTATGCATCTCTCATGCGATTCCCACACCTGGGCACAATCCCAGGCAAAGCGGAAGGACTCAGTAAATATTTGATGAAGTATATTGCATTGAAGTGATGCTGATCTACAGTTCAGGTCTTATGACTCTCAGGTGCTTTCAACCACATGCCTTTCTAACTACATTATTTGATTTCCTTCTCACAACAAACCAGTGAAACAGATGTTTCTTTTGATCAGGGGAGAAACTGAGGCACCAGGCAGGGGATTTATCTAAGGCCATTCACGCTATATGGATCATAGCCCACATATCTGAAGTCCTAGGCTTTTTTGCCCACTAATTTTTCCCTTCTTTCTTCCACTCATCCTCTCAATGTAACTCACTATGGTGGAGTCTATGGTGTATCAGGCACTGTGTGAATTTTATAGCCCTTGATGCCCAGAATGTTAATTCTTAAAACACCTCAGTCTACCACTAAGTATTATCTATGGTCCAAACTACTATTCGAGCTAAAGAGCATCGTTTCCTGTGTTAACAGCTGATTTGTTCTTAGTTGACCACATCTTGTAGTACATGCCTTTTTGATGAGACAAGTATCAGCTGACAGGCAGCCACTGGGGCCAGGGAGCTGCAGTGGCTTCTGGTAAAACTGACCATGCGGACAGAGGTGTCCTCACAGTCTCTGACAGGATGAGCCTGTGGCTCGTCATGCTGGTCTACGTGGGGGAAGGGTCTGCTCTCCTGGGGAATATGCCTGTGTCATGTCCTGAGGTGGCTGCAGCTCATTTCAGATGAAACCACTGTAACAATGGCTTTCATGCTCTCAGCAGCCTTGTGACAGAGACGCAGTCATGTCAGCCGCCAAACACCACTGGAAGCAGGATTTGGGATTTCAGTGACTGGGCTGCCAGCATGTTCATATCTGTGGAACAACACCATCCCCATCAAAACCATTGATTTCCTTTGAATCAGTGTTCCACAGGAGGAGAAAATGAGGTTCAGGGAAATTAAATTACCCTGGGATGGGCACCAACTGATCATTCACTTGAACCCATGACTATGAACCCACAGTTAGAGGTCCAGCATCCTTTAGGATTTTTAAATTACACTTTGTAAACAACCCTTCAGTGGAGACTCTGCTCCCTTCCGTTGTTTATTAGCGTACGTCTGATAACTGTTCAAAGTCCACTATCATCTCATATTCAAAGCTTTGAAATTAGGTCAAAGAAACTGTCTCAATATTATTAACAATGGCTGATTACAATGGCATCATGTTGAATGCTCCATCTCCCTTATCTTATCTGAATAACCCAGTATAGAAGATAGGGACAGAGAAAATAGGCTGTAAAGGAAAAGTAATTTGAATGAAGTGTCACATCCAATAAGAGCAGAGCTGGGACTCCAATCAGGATCCAGCTGGCTTGTCATGCAGGCTTCCAAATTCCCCAGAGTGTCCCCATCAAAGCCATTTCCCCAGAACCACTTCTCCCTTAGGTATCTAAGTAAGAGAGAAAGAGTTGCTGGATCTCCTCAAGCACATACACCTCGTCATTGAAACTGGGACCTAATATTAAAGCATGGAGTTGTCGCTGTAAATGGGATTATGCATCAGTTAAGCATAACGGTGCTGCCCTCTATAGCCCAAGTCCCTCTCCTTCCAGGAAGCATGCTCTTTCTATTTGTACTACACCTAGTTCCAAAGAGATGGGGGGGGGGGGGGATTACGTAACAAAGACCTGGGGAATTGATGAGGCATTAGAGCAGACAGCGTGAAAGTGGAAAAGACATCTGTCTTAGTTACTTTTAACTGGTTGCTGAGACAAAATATCTGATGCCCAAAGTTGGGAAAGGAAAGCTTTATTTTTTATAGTTTTTGGAGGTTTTAGTATATATTTAGTTGGCTCAAAGGCTGGGTGGCATGGTGGGGCCACAGTTTATGGTGGCTGCAAACAGCAAGGCAGAAACTGGCAAGAGAGACTGAGAGAGACATCTTTTTTTGGTCATTATTGTATGTTGGCTCTACCTCTAGGTAGGTGTAGCACTGACACCATCAATCTAAGCACTAGACAATGAGCCAATCACAAATGTATAATGTAAATGTATGAGACCTGAGGCCACCAGACATAAACCATGACATTCCATCCCTGGCCCCCAGGACTCACGCACATCTTTTATATAAATGACATTCAGTTTATCTCTAAGAGTTGTCACAGTCTTAACAGTTTTAGCATTACTGAAAAATCTAAGTTTTAAGTGTCTTTTAAGTTCTATGGCAAATTTTTAACTGTAACTGCTGTATAAATGAAACAAGGTTAAACAGTTTTGAAATGTAAAGGCACAAGATAAACATTATCATTTTAAAAGTTGTAAATAGGGGAATATAAAGCATTGGAAACAAAGTAAGTCTAACATCTAGCAGGGTGAACATTAAATTTTAGAGTTTTTAGTGCTGTGGATTTAGCTCAGTAGCATAAGCACCTGCCTTGCAAGCAGGCAGTCGTGAGTTCAATACTCGGTACCGACAAAAAAAAAAAAAATCCTTCAAAAATTTTAGAGTTTTTTTGTTTAGCGTCTGAAGCAACCTGGTTATAAGCTCTAAAAGGCTTGGGTGATTTTATTTTTATGGCACTTTTATGTATTTTAGCTCCCAAAGCTTTTTAAAAAAACCCCCTGTGTTCGCTTTTTGTAGCTTTTTTTGGATGATCTATGTTTTTGGCTTTTTTAAACTTTTGGGGTTTTTATTGTATCTTTGGCTTTATCTTTATATCTTTATATCTTTATAAATTTTCTCAGGGGTACACTATTTGGCCTCCCAGGCTCTTTGCAATCGAGGTAGAAGCCTTCTTACCCTCAGAATTTGTGTATTTTTTTTTTTTTGTACCTAAAATCAGCACCATGCGGATGCACCAAGGTTTGTTGTCAGTTGGAGTAGTAGCCAGGCTTTTTTCTTTTCTTTCTTTCTTTCTTTCTTTTTTTTTTTTTTTTTGCTATAGGGATCTAGTGTCTGGATTGTTAGGCTCTGTTTATCTGATTGTGAGGAAAAGCTTTTTTATGTTGCCATTTTGCAACTTTGTGTGACTCTGTCACTCTTTTGGAGCATGGTGCTCTGCAACTTTTTTCTCTGAGCAAATTTTTTTCACTTTTTCAGTTTTGAGGGTGCAAAGGGTGGAGACCCACTGCTTCCTGGAATGCCCCGTGGCCATCTTTTTTATCTCTCTGGTTTTTTTTTTCAGCAATCAAAGTGATAGGATTATTTCCAAAAGATGAAAAGTATTTCCAAAAGATGAGAAGTATAAAACAAAAGAGGCCTTTATTCTGAGAACATGGAGAGAGATGACTGGCACCCTGGCCACTGAAGTCTGGTGATCTATCTCGTGGACACGTGGCGTGGGGGAATGTAAGTAGCCTAAGCTTAGGGCAGTGCCCTAAGGCCATTAGAGATGCACAGGTATTTCATTGGCACACGTTTGGCGCAAGGAGAAGATTCCAAAGGGTGGGGAGATATAGGGTTACAGGTAAATCTCTAGGGGCAGGGGAGACAGAAGCTCCCTGATTC